CGTGCGTGTGTGTGTGTGTGTGTGTGTGTGTGTGTGTGTGTGTGTGTGTGTGTGTGTTTGAGAGATAGATATACAGAGCTGTGACAGAGATGTATAGATGTACGGGTCCATCCATATGGTGACTACAGTAATCTGTCACATCCCTGACACACGTGGGGGGTCAATCCTTAAAAAAGAATAATTTAATTTTAAAATTAATAATTAATAATTCTTAATTTTTTAAGTCAGAGGTTAACGTTTCGAGTTAAGGTGAATCAATTCGCTCCACTCCCTCGAACATCATTCCGAGACTCTCTCTCGTCTGAATCATCGGGAGGAATTTCGGGGTAAAGTGACCCACTCGACCGTCTAAACACAGGCGAATGACTAACTCTCGGTGTAGCACACCGCAATGGCGATCTCCACTCAACCCTTCACTCTATACTCACGTCGGTCAAGGGGCAACTTCACCTAACTGCAATGGTAAAGAGCACGTTGCAATGGTAGGCACGCGCGTGGCTACTCGGCGGTGGGGTGGTATGATGTGGAGTGGGATTGGATGGGGGTAAGCCGGGTGGGATGGGGTCAGGGGTGAAGTGGGGTAGGGTAGAGTCAGGGGTGGTATGGTGTAGGTGGGGTTGGGCGGGGTGGGGTGGGGTCAAGGGTGGGGTCAGGGATGAGATTTTGAGATGTTGAGATTTTTTCGAATATTATATTATGCGATTATAATTCTATCCTATATAGGAGATTATTTGGATGTACAATATGTACATAAACGTAAAAAAACGATTTAATGGGTTCTTAATATTGGAAATTTATTATTTTCTGTAAAGGTTTTTTTTCTCGTCGTCTGGCCGCACCCGTGGCGGCCATGTTTGACCTTGACGACGATATGACGCGGGGCGCGCAGACGACACTGTCTGCGAATGATTGGATCTGCTCATAATTAGCATCACATCGATTGATTGGGAGTGCAGTGAGGCAGATGTGAGAGAGGAAACCGCGCTCTCTGATTAGAGCCGTAGTGCGCTTCAGCGGGACTTGAAGGGTCTCTCTCTCTCTCTCTCTCTCTGTTTTTCTCTCTTCTTTTCTTTTTCTTTTCTTCTTCTTCTTCTTCTTCTCTCTCTCTCTCTCTCTCTCTCTCTCTCTCTCTCTTTCTCTCTCTCTTTTCTTCTTTTTTTCTCTTCTTTTTCTCTCTCTCTCTCCACTTCTCTGTCTCTCTCTCTTTCTCTCTCTCTTTTCGTTGTTCTTTCTTCTCTTTCTGTCTTTTCTCGCTCGTCTCTCTCTCTCTCTCGCTGTCTGTCTCTTCCTCCCCCTCTCTCAACTCTCCTCCTCGTCTTTCTCTCTCTTCTTTTTTGCTTGTCTTTCTCTCTCTCTCTCTCTCTCTCTCTGTCTCTTCCTCCTCTCCTCACTCTCTTCTCTCTCTCTCTTCTTATCTCTCTCTCTCTCTCTCTCTCATCTCGCTCTCTCTCTCTCTCTGCTCCTCCTACTCTCTCTCTTCTCCTCCCGTTCTCTCTCTCTCTCTCCTCTCGTCCCCTCTCCTCTCTCTCTCCTCTCACTCTCTCTCTCTTTTCTCTCTTCTCCAGCGCCAGCCGCCCCCGACATCATACTTACATCTCTT